TGGGTCCTGGGTTCCTCCTGGTGCGGTGGGTCCTGGGTTCCTCCTGGTGCAGTGGGTCCTGGGTTCCTCCTGGTGCAGTGGGTCTTGGGTTCCTCCTGGTGCAGTGGGGTCCTGGGTTCCTCCTGGTGCGGTGGGTCCTGGGTTCCTCCTGGTGCGGTGGGTCCTGGGTTCCTCCTGGTGCAGTGGGTCCTGGGTTCCTCCTTGTGCAGTGGGTCCTGGGTTCCTCCTGGTGCAGTGGGTCCTGGGTTCCTCCTGGTGCAGTGGGTCTTGGGTTCCTCCTGGTGCAGTGGGTCTTGGGTTCCTCCTGGTGCAGTGGGTAAGGTACAGAAAAAAAGGACAGCAAAGAAATCTGAAGGGGGTTCTAACACCTCCCTACTCTAGAGTAGGGTGTAGTCATTCCCCCTGAGGTCATCACAGAGGACAAGGGGGCGCTCTTTACGTCTGGAGGAAAATAAATGTCATCTCCAAACACGGAAAGGTTTCTTCACAGTAAGAGCTGTGAGAATGTGGAATAGACTCCCTCCAGAGTTGGGTGTGGCCAGCTCAGTGGATTGCTGTAGGAAAGTCCTGGATTCTTTCTTCGATACACAGAATATAACTGGATATAACATTTATAGGGAAAGGTGATCCCGGGAATATCCGATTGGCTCTCGGGGGATCAGGAAGGAATGTTTCCCTGCAGGAGGAGATTGGATCGTGCTTTGCTGGGATCTTTTGCCTTCCTCTGGATCCCCTGTGGGTGTCGGATTATAACTTGTTTTATGGTTGAACTGGATGGACTTTTGTCTTTTTTCAGCCAGAATAACTATGTAACAATGTAACAATGTAACTATGTACTCTAATTGAAAAACAACAATTCTGCTTCGTTCCGCTTGGATTGCAGAAAGTTTGCCTCCCTCCCTGTGATGAGAAATCCCCCCACAGGGACGCATCCTGCAATAATGTCCTGTTTTACAGGGCTGTGTAAATTTCAGAACTGGATGGACAGAATACAAATGCCATGGCAGCTGTTTTTCGTGGAGTTCCGCTTTTATGACAGGAGCAGGGGCGGACTGACCATTTGGGAACCCGGGCATTGCTCGAGGGCCCGGGGTCAGTAGGGGGCCCCATGAGATGCCCCTGGTACCTTTCATAGGCTTTTTTGGGTGTGGTTTGAGGCCCCATGATCCCCTATTGCCCGGGGGCCCCATGAGATGCCCCTGGTACCTTTCATAGGCTTTTTTGGGTGTGGTTTGAGTGTGGGCGAGGACATAGGGGCCCCATGATCCCCTATTGCCCGGGGGCCCCATGAGATGCCCCTGGTACCTTTCATAGGCTTTTTTGGGTGTGGTTTGAGTGTGGGCGAGGACACAGGGGCCCCATGATCCCCTATTGCCCGGGGGCCCCATGAGATGCCCCTGGTACCTTTCATAGACTTTTTTGGGTGTGGTTTGAGTGTGGGAGAGGACACAGGGGCCCCATGATCCCCTATTGCCCGGGGGCCCCATGAGATGCCCCTGGTACCTTTCATAGGCTTTTTTGGGTGTGGTTTGAGTGTGGGCGAGGACACAGGGGCCCCATGATCCCCTATTGCCCGGGGGCCCCATGAGATGCCCCTGGTACCTTTCATAGGCTTTTTTGGGTGTGGTTTGAGTGTGGGCGAGGACACAGGGGCCCCATGATCCCCTATTGCCCGGGGGCCCCATGAGATGCCCCTGGTACCTTTCATAGGCTTTTTTGGGTGTGGTTTGAGTGTGGGCGAGGACACAGGGGCCCCATGATCCCCTATTGCCCGGGGGCCCCATGAGATGCCCCTGGTACCTTTCATAGGCTTTTTTGGGTGTGGTTTGAGTGTGGGAGAGGACACAGGGGCCCCATGATCCCCTATTGCCCGGGGGCCCCATGAGATGCCCCTGGTACCTTTCATAGGCTTTTTTGGGTGTGGTTTGAGTGTGGGCGAGGACACAGGGGCCCCATGATCCCCTATTGCCCGGGGGCCCCATGAGATGCCCCTGGTACCTTTCATAGGCTTTTTTGGGTGTGGTTTGAGTGTGGGCGAGGACACAGGGGCCCCATGATCCCCTATTGCCCGGGGGCCCCATGAGATGCCCCTGGTACCTTTCATAGGCTTTTTTGGGTGTGGTTTGAGTGTGGGAGAGGACACAGGGGCCCCATGATCCCCTATTGCCCGGGGCCCCATGAGATGCCCCTGGTACCTTTCATAGGCTTTTTTGGGTGTGGTTTGAGTGTGGGAGAGGACACAGGGGCCCCATGATCCCCTATTGCCCGGGGGCCCCATGAGATGCCCCTGGTACCTTTCATAGGCTTTTTTGGGTGTGGTTTGAGTGTGGGAGAGGACACAGGGGCCCCATGATCCCCTATTACCCGGGGCCCCATGAGTTGTCAGTCTGCCTCTGGACAGGAGCTTGGGGAAAGTCGTCGTCGCCGGCGTGGCTTTTCAGGCATTGGTCCCTCGATGGTCGGCTTTCCAGGAGCCCAACCACAATTTCATCACACAAAGGCGTAGGCGTGAGATCCTCGTCTTACCTGCCGCTGATATTCTAGCTGCATCCTGAGCTCCGGGGGGTTCGCACACAAAGGGTGTGTGTCTCCATTTCTGGTTTCACACATCCAACCGCATTTTTCATTCACCGTTTCCTCGTCTTGTTTTAGGGATTGATTTTCTGGGCTGGCCCGGTGCCACGGCTGGGGATTGTATTCTGTACGGGACGGACAGACCCAGAATTTCCATAGAATTCCCCAGTGAAATCCATCCCCCCATACTGCGGCAGAATCTTCCCTGGGACCCAAAGGGTAGATCGGGCCCTACACAGGGGGGGGCCACTTCCCGCTCTGACATTGGTGTGACTTACAAGGTATCAGAAGTCTTCCCTCTTCTGGGCACCAACCACCATTTCATCGTGTCACCAAAACCGGTGATGAGAAATCTGCCATTGGAGACACAGGATCTCCTGGAAAGTATCTTAGATTCCATTTACACGGACAGCCAGGGGGGCGTTCAGCATAGGTGGATGAGCCACGGTGTTACCACCCTCTCCGACTGCTTGGCCTCAAGTTAACATGACCACCAGCCATATTGGTACACACAGTCACGGTGTGGCACAAATCATACCTCGGGTTGCGTTCAGCTGGAAGTGCGGTCACCAAGCACAACCCATTCAAGTGGACGGGGACTCCCTGCGACCACCTGAGAGCACTGCTGAACCTTGTGCAATGCCCGTGGTCACGGCGCAGGGGAGCGGTATTTAAAGGGCTAAAACAGGTGTCCAGGGGGCGACATCACGTCTCAGAGCCACCTAACAAGTGATCTCCAGTCTGTATGTGTGTCCCCATTCAGCGGTCGTTATTCTGCGACACTCCGGAGGGCCCGGGGTCAGTAGGGGCCCCATGAGTTGTCAGTCCGCTCCAGTCTGTATGTGTGTGTCCCCATTCAGCGGTCGTTATTCTGCGACACTCCGGAGGGCCCGGGTCAGTAGGGGCCCCATGAGTTGTCAGTCCGCTCCAGTCTGTATGTGTGTGTCCCCATTCAGCGGTCATTATTCTGGACACTTTGGAGGGCCCCAGGGTCAGGTGGGGCCCCCATGAGTTGTCAGTCCGCTCCAGTCTGTATGTGTGTGTCCCCATTCAGCGGTCGTTATTCTGCGACACTCCGGAGGGCCCGGGGTCAGTAGGGGCCCCATGAGTTGTCAGTCCGCTCCAGTCTGTATGTGTGTGTCCCCATTCAGCGGTCGTTATTCTGCGCACTCCGGAGGGCCCGGGGTCAGTAGGGGCCCCATGAGTTGTCAGTCCGCTCCAGTCTGTATGTGTGTGTCCCCATTCAGCGGTCGTTATTCTGGACACTTTGGAGGGCCCGGGGTCAGGTGGGGCCCCATGAGTTTGTCAGTCCGCTCCAGTCTGTATGTGTGTGTCCCCATTCAGCGGTCGTTATTCTGCGCACTCCGGAGGGCCCGGGGTCAGTAGGGGCCCCATGAGTTGTCAGTCCGCTCCAGTCTGTATGTGTGTGTCCCCATTCAGCGGTCGTTATTCTGCGACACTCCGGAGGGCCCGGGGTCAGTAGGGGCCCCATGAGTTGTCAGTCCGCTCCAGTCTGTATGTGTGTGTCCCCATTCAGCGGTCGTTATTCTGGACACTTTGGAGGGCCCGGGGTCAGATGGGGCCCCATGAGTTGTCAGTCCGCTCCAGTCTGTATGTGTGTGTCCCCATTCAGCGGTCGTTATTCTGTGACACTCCGGAGGGCCCGGGGTCAGATGGGGCCCCATGAGTTGTCAGTCCGCTCCAGTCTGTATGTGTGTGTCCCCATTCAGCGGTCGTTATTCTGTGACACTCCGGAGGGCCCGGGGTCAGATGGGGCCCCATGAGTTGTCAGGCAGCGCTCGCAGGACGCACATCGCAGACTAATAACATGGTAGCGCTCCGGAGATATTATTACACAGAAGGCGGCCGGGGCCCAATGCCTCAAGTGACGTCATCCTGCCGCTGCCGCCATCTGTGGTTTGTTTGGATACGAGACTTTCTCCAAAAGCAGCTCGCCAGCCGTGGACCACTTCCTCACGCCGGGCTGCGACCTGCCACGGGAACGGAACGCCATGGAAGGAGAGCGATTCATTCCCGATCACATATGGAAATCATTGGCATTGATGATGCCGGGGAGGAGAAGCTCAGTCATCTGTCTTGGTGGTCCTTCCCAGCAGCGGCGGTCCCACCACAACAGAGGAATCCGGCAGCTCTACCGCACATCCACGCGGATCTGTCCGGCCGTCCACATTGGAGGGGGAGGGGAGCTAATCTGCATTGTTGGGTTATTTCTTCAAATATTTCCGTGAAAGTCGATATATAAATTCTACAAATGTGCCGGGAAATTCCGCATCCAGCCGACAACCAATACAAAGATCCAAATCCAAGATGCTGCACCCTGGGGCCCAATCTGCTGCCCAGGGGCCACATAGAGGCAGGCAGTCTCTGGTCATCTCCTGTACTATGTCCCCAGTCTCTGGTCATCTCCTGTACTGTGTCCGCAGTCTCTGGTCATCTCCTGTACTGTGTCCGCAGTCTCTGGTCATCTCCTGTACTATGTCCGCAGTCTCTGGTCATCCCCTGTACTGTCTGCAGTCTCTGGTCATCTCCTGTACTGTGTCCACAGTCTCTGGTCATCTCCTGTACTGTGTCCGCAGTCTCTGGTCGTCTCCTGTACTGTGTCTGCAGTCTCTGGTCGTCTCCTGTACTATGTCCGCAGTCTCCGGTCGTCTCCTGTACTGTGTCCGCAGTCTCTGGTCATCTCCTGTACTATGTCTGCAGTCTCTGGTCATCTCCTGTACTATGTCCGCAGTCTCTGGTCATCTCCTGTACTGTGTCCGCAGTCTCTGGTCATCTCCTGTACTATGTCCGCAGTCTCTGGTCATCTCCTGTACTGTGTCCGCAGTCTCTGGTCATCTCCTGTACTGTGTCCGCAGTCTCCGGTCATCTCCTGTACTATGTCCGCAGTCTCTGGTCATCTCCTGTACTGTGTCCGCAGTCTCCGGTCATCTCCTGTACTGTGTCCACAGTCTCTGGTCATCTCCTGTACTGTGTCCTGCAGTCTCTGGTCATCTCCTGTACTGTGTCCGCAGTCTCTGGTCATCTCCTGTACTGTGTACGCAGTCTCTGGTCATCTCCTGTACTGTGTCCGCAGTCTCTGGTCATCTCCTGTACTGTGTCCGCAGTCTCTGGTCATCTCCTGTACTGTGTACGCAGTCTCTGGTCATCTCCTGTACTGTGTCCGCAGTCTCTGGTCATCTCCTGTACTATGTCCGCAGTCTCTGGTCATCTCCTGTACTATGTCCGCAGTCTCTGGTCATCTCCTGTACTGTGTCCGCAGTCTCTGGTCATCTCCTGTACTATGTCCGCAGTCTCTGGTCATCTCCTGTACAGTGTCCGCAGTCTCTGACCATCTCCTGTACCGTGTCCGCAGTCTCTGGTCATCCCTGTACTGTGTACTATTCTTTCTTATAAACTAAAATATTTTTCTATTTCTTTACTATATATCTGAGTAAAAAAGTATATAAATAGTATGCTGTTCTCTGCCCAGCCAGCAGGTGGAGCAACTCCTTACCGCATCACTAACCTGATTACATTGTTACATTTGCAGATAGAAGCCACCTTTCATCACAGAGACTCCGCCTCCTTCAGAAAGAACCCGCCTGTCATCACAGAGACTCCGCCTCCTTCAGAAAGAACCCGCCTGTCATCACAGAGACCCACCTCCTTCAGAAAGAAGTCGGCTGTCATCACCGAGACTTTTTCCGCCTCCCTCCCTTAGAAGCTGCATGTCATCACAGAGACTCCCGCCTCCCTCAGAAAGAAGCCGCCTGTCATCACAGGAACTCCGCCTCCCTCCCTCAAAAAGAAGTTTCATTCAGACAAAGCAAGCTGCATATAATGCTCTGGGAATCCTTTGTTGTGTAATAAATGTTTATTTTTGTACAATCAACAAAAAAAAATCGAAAAAATGTAACAAACAATAAAACCCAAATATTTATATAGTGATAAAACAGATTTCAAAACAGGTAAAAAAAAGAACAATTAAATAATAATAATAAAAATCTCTCTCCCCTCCCCCCCTCTCCCTCTCTTCGTCTCTCTCCCTTGTATTATCTCCCCCCCCTCTCTCTCTCTCCCTTCCTCTTTCTCTCCCTCCCCTCTCTCTCTCTTTCCCCCCTTCCCTCTCTCTCTCCCTCCCTCTCTCTCTCTTCAAAGATTCCCCCCCTTCCTCTCCCCTCCCTCCTCTCCCCCTCCCCCTCCCCCCTCCCCCCCCCCTCTCCCCCCCCCCCCCCCCCCTCCCCTCCCCCCTCCCCCCCCCCCCTCCCCTCTCCCCCCCCCCCTCTCCCCTCCCCCCTTTCCTTTTTCCTCTTCCCCTCCCCCCCCCTCCCTCCCCCCCCCCCCCCCCCCCCCTTCCCCTTCCCTTTCCCCCCCCCCCCCTCTCTCTCCTCTCCCCCCTCCCCCACTCTCTCTTTCCCCCCCCCTCTCCCCTCCCCCCCCTCTCTCTCCCCCCCTCTCCCTCTCCCCTCTTTCCCCCCTCCCCCCCTCTTCCCCCCCCCCCCTCTCCCCCCCTCCTCCCCCTCTCTTCCTCCCCCCTCTCCTTCCCCTCTTCCCCCCTCCTCTCCCTCCCTCCCTCTCCCCCTCCCCTCCCCCCCCCTCTCCCCCCTCTCCCTCCCCTTTCCCCCCTCTTCCCCTCCCCCCCCCCTTCCCCCTCTCCCCCCTTCCCTTCTCTCTCTTCTCTCCTCCTCCCCCCCTCTCCCCCCCCCTTCCTCCCCCCCCTCTTCCTCCCCCTCTCCCTCCTCCCCCTCTCCCCTCTTCCCCCTCTCTCTTCTCCCCTCCCTCTCTTCCCTCTCCCTCCCCCCTTCCTCTCTTCTCCTCTCCTCTCTTCCCCCCCCTCCCTTCCCCCCCTCCCTCCTCTCTCCTTTCCCCCCCCCCCTCTCTCCCTCCCCCTCCCTCCCCCCCTCTTCCCCCCCCTCCCCCCTCTTCTCCCCCCCCCCCCCCTCCCTCTCTCTCCTCTCTCTCCCTCCCCTCTTCCCCCCCCCCTTTCTCTCCCCCCCTCTCCCCCCTCCCTCCCCCTCTCCCTCTCCCCCCTCCTCCCCCCCCCCCCCCCTCCCTTCCCCCCCCCCTCCCCCCCTTCCCCCCCTTCTCCCCCTCCCCCCTTTCCCCCCCCTCCCCTCCCCCCCCCTCCCCCCTCCCCCCCCCCCCCCCTCTCCCCTTTCCCTCTCTCTCTTTTCCCCCCCCTCTCCTCCCCCCTCCCCCCCCCTTCCCCCCCCCCCCCCCCCCTCTCTCCCTCCTCCTCCCCCCCCCCCCCCCCCATCTCCCACCCTCACTCCCTTTCCTCCCCTTTTCCCCCCCTCTCCTTCCCCCCTCCCCCCTCCCCCCCTCCCCCCCCCCCCTCTTCCCTCTCTCCCTCCCCCCCCTCTCCCCCCCCCCCTCCTCCCTCCTCTCCCCCTTCTCCTCCTCCCCTCCCCCCCCCCCCCCCCTCCCCCCTTCCTCCCTTTCTCTTCTCCCCCCCCTCCCCCCCTCTATCTTCCCCCCCTTCCTTTCTCTTCTTTTCCCCCCCAGTTCCCCCCCCTTCCCCCTTCCCTCTCCTCCCTCCCTCTCCTCTCCTCCCCCCTCCTTCCTCTCCTCCTTTCCCCCCCCTCCCTCTCCCCCTTTCTCCCTCCTCCTCTCTTTCCCTCCTTCCTCCCTCCCCCCCCCTCTCCTACCCCTCCCACCCTCCCTTTTCCTTCCCCCCCCCTCCTCCCTCCTCCCTCATCCTCTCTTCCTCCCTCTTTCCCTCTCCCCTCTCCTCCCTCTTCCTTCCCCCCTGCTTTCTTCCTTCCTCCCCTCCTCTTCTCCCTCCCCCCCCCCGTCCCTCCTCTACTTCTTTCTTTCTCTCTCCTCCCCCTCCCTCTTCCCCCCCCTTCTTTCCCTCTTCTCTTTCCCCTCCCCCCCCCTCCTTCCTCCCTCTCCCCTCCCCCCTCCCCTCTCTCCCCCTACCTCCCCCCCTCCTTCCCCCCCCTCTTTCCTTCCTTTTCCCCTCCCCCTCTCCCCCCCCTCCCCCCCCCTCACCCTTTCCCTCCCCCCTCTCCTCCTCCCCCCCCCCCTCCTCTCCCCCTCCCCTCCCACCCTCCCCCCCTCTCCCCCCCCCCCCCCCCTCCCCTCTCCCCCCCCCCCCCCCCCTCTCCCTCCCCCCCTCCCTCTCCCCCTCCCCTCCCCCCCTCTTTCTCCTCCCCCTCCTCCTCTCTCCCCCTTCCTTCCCCCCTCTCTCCCCCCCCCCCCTCCTCCCCCTCCCCTCCTCCCCCCCCCCTCTTCTTCCTTCCTATCTCTCTTCTCTCCCCTTTTCCCCCCCCCCTCCTTCTTCCCCTCCTCCCCTCTCTTCCCCCCTCTCCCCCCCCTTACCCCTCCCCTCTCCTCCCTTCCTCCTTTTTCTCCTCCCCCCTCCCTTCTCCCCCTCACCCTTCCTCCTTCTTCCCCCCTCCCCTCCCCCCCCCTCCCCTCCCCTCCCTCCCCCCCCTCCCCCCCCCCCTCCCCCCCCCTCTCCCCCCCTTCCCCTTCCCCCCTTCCCTCTTCCCTTCCCTCCCCCCCCCTCTCCCCTCCCCTTTTCTTCCCCTTCCCTTTCTTCCCCCCTTTGCCTCCCCCTTCCTCTTTCTTCCTCTCTCCCCCCCCCCCCCCCTTCTCCTTCCTTCCCCCTCCTCTTTCCTCTCCCCCCTCTCCCCTCTCCCCTTCCCCCCCCTCACCCCCTTCCTTTCCCTTCTTCTTCCTCTCCTCTCTTTCCTCCCCTCCTTTTTCCTCCCCCCTCTTCCCTCCTCCCTTCTCCCCCCCCCCCCTCTCTCCTCTTCCCCTTCCCTCTCTTTCTCTTTTTCTCCCTTTTTTTTCCCCTCCTTCTTCTCCCTCCCCCCCCTTTCCTCCCCTTCCTCTCTTCCCTCTCTTTCCCCCCTTCCTCTCCCCCCTTCCTTTCCCTCTCTTCTCTCTTCTTCTCCCCCTCCTTTTCCCCCTCTCCCCTTTCCTCCCCCTTCTTTTCCTTCCCCCTTCCTTTCTTTCTTTCTCCCCCCCTTCCTTTTCTTCCCCCCTTCCCCCCTCTCCTCCTCCTTCCCTCCCCCCTTCTTCCCCTTTTTCCTTCTCCCCCCCTCCTCTTCTCTTCCTTCTTCTTTCCTTCCCCTCTTCTTCTCTCTCCCCCTTTTCCTTTCCTCTCTTCCCTTCCTTCCTTCCTTCCCCTTCCCCCCTCCCCCCCCCTCCCTCTCCCTCCTTCTCCTTCTTCTTTCCTTCCTTCTTTTTCCCTCCTTTTCCCTCCTTTCCCCTCCCTTCTCCTTCTTTCTCCCTTTTTCCCCTCTCTCCTTTCTTCCCCTTCTCCCCTTCCCTTCCTTTCCCCCTCTTTCTCCCTTCCCTTCTTCCCTCTTTCTTCTCTTCCCCTTCCCCCCTTCCCCCCTCCCCCCTTCCCTTTCCTTTCCCTCCTTCCTTCCTTCCCCCCTCCCCTCCTTCCTTTCCCTTTTTCTTCTCTCTTTCCCCCTCCCCTCTTTTCCCTCCTTCTTCTTCTCTTTTCCCCCTCGTTCCCCCCCCTCTCTCTCTCTTCCTCTCTCTCTTTCTCCTTCCCTTTTTTTCCCTCCTTTTCCTTCTTCCCCCTCTCACTTCTCTCCTTTCTTTCCTTTTTCCTTTTTCCCCCTTTTCCTCTTTCTCCTCTTTCTTTTTCTTTTCTCCCCTTCCCTTTTTCTCCTTCCTTTCTTTTTCTTCCTCCTTTCCTTCCTTTTCCCTTCTTTTCCCTTTCTTCTCCTTTTCCTTCCTTCTCTCTTCCTCTTCTTCCTCTCTCCCTTTCTCCTTTTCTTCCTCTTCTCCCCCTCCCTTCTCCTCTTCCCTCCCTTTTCTTTCCTCTCCCCCTTCTTTCTCCTTTCTCTCCCCTTTCCCTCCCCCTTCTTTCCTTTCCCTTCCTCCTCCCTTTTTTTCTCCTTCCTCCCTTCTTTCTCTTCCTTTCTTCTCCTTCCCTCTCTTCCTTTCCCCCCCTTCCTTTTCCTTCCTTCCTTCCCCCCCCCTTCCC